ACTACCAGCCGTTTTCCGAAAGCACGTCAGGAACCTTCCGCTTTTGACCCCTCTTTATTTATACATGACAAATTTGAAAAATCTATTATTCGTCAAAACAGCCGAAGACCAAAAAGTTTTTTACATATCTGGCATCAACATAATCTACCTTATCACTCCCTACCAGCCGTTTTCCGAAAGCACGTCCGGAACCCTCCGTTTTTGACTCCTGTTTATTTATACATGACAAATTTGAAAAAATCTATTATTCGTCAAAACAGCCGAAGACCAAAAAGTTTTTTACATTTCTGGCATCAATATAATCTACTTTATCACTTCCTACCAGCCGTTTTCCGAAAGCACGACCGGAACCCCTCGTTTTTGACCCCTCTTTGTTTATACATAGCAAATTTGAAAAAATCTATTATACGTCAAAACGGCCGAAGACCAAAAAGTTTTTTACATTTCTGGCATCAATATAAACTACCTTATCACTCCCTACCAGCCGTTTTCCGAAAGCACGTCCGGAACCCTCCGTTTTTGACTCCTGTTTATTTATACATGACAAATTTGAAAAATTTATTATTCGTCAAAACAGCCGAAGACCAAAAAGTTTGTTACATTTCTCGCATCAACATAATCTACCTTATCACTCCCTACCAGCCGTTTTCCGAAAGCACGTCCGGAACCCTCCGTTTTTGACTCCTGTTTATTTATACATGACAAATTTGAAAAATCTATTATTCGTCAAAACAGCCGAAGACCAAAAAGTTTGTTACATTTCTCGCATCAATATGACCTACTCCATCCCACCCAACCGGCCATTTTCCGGAAGCATGTCCGGAACCCTCCGTTTTTGAAAAAACTTTTTTTTCTTCGGCTGTTTTGACGAATAATAGATTTTTCAAATTTGTCATGTATAAATAAAGAGGGGTCAAAAACGGAAGGTTCCTGACGTGCTTTCGGAAAACGGCTGGTAGGGAATGATAAGGTAGATTATATTGATGCCAGAAATGTAAAAAACTTTTTGGTCTTCGGCCGTTTTGACGTATAATAGATTTTTTCAAATTTGCTATCTATAAACAAAGAGGGGTCAAAAACGAGGGGTTCCGGTCGTGCTTTCGGAAAACGGCTAGTAGGGAGTGATAAGGTAGATTATATTGATGCCAGAAATGTAAAAAACTTTTTGGTCTTCAGCCGTTTTGACGTATAATAGATTTTTACAAATTTGCTATGTATAAACAAAGAGGAGTCAAAAACGAGGGGTTCCGGTCGTGCTTTCGGAAAACGGCTGGTAGGAAGTGATAAAGTAGATTATATTGATGCCAGAAATGTAAAAAACTTTTTAGTCTTCGGCTGTTTTGACGAATAATAGATTTTTCAAATTTGTCATGTATAAATAAAGATTGGTCAAAAACGGAGGGTTCCAGACTTGGTTTGTGGAAACGGCTGATATGGTGTGATTGACTAGATCATATTCATGCGAGAAGTGTCCAAAACATTTTGGTCTTGGGCGGTTTTGAAAAGCTATAAATGATTATATAGCTTCTAAAATATTAGGTTTTAAAGGGGGGTCAATTTGGGGTATCTATGAACGAGATAGCGCGGATTTGAACTTGGCGTAAGTAAAATATGTTTTTTTTAATCAATTTACGTGAAAACCGCATTTCTCCAGGTTTATTTTAATGTAATATCAATTTTTTCGCGTTTCTCCTCACTTTGAGGAAGATTTTGGAGGAGGGAGATAAAACTCTTACAGTACATAGAAAGCCAGTAATACAATCGAACTACGTGAAAACCGCATCTATTTATGTTTATTTGGACCCAAATTACGTAAGTAGAAGTGGTAATGACAAATTTTCGTCACTGCTGCCTTTTTACCGTTTCGATCAGAACGTGATCGATCGGAACTTCAGCCGCATGTGAAAAAGCAAATGAGCTGTAACCTGGAAGACAGATAAACAAAAAAATATATGTTGTCATTATCATCAGAGTTGTCATTTGTACTTGAAAAAGGCCACCGTGGTGGCCGAAAGGTCATATCAGTAAACAGTATTTCGAACTAAGGATGCACCGAGTACTCGGTATGTACCCGGTACTCGGTTTCGCCGAGTATTGGATTACTCGGTCTGAACGCAAATATGTAAATTAAAGATTTATGATGTACAAAATTTCAGTTCATATCACTTTCGTAAACCTTCCTAATATTCACCAAGAAATTATTGCATCATCATGAGAAGAGACAAGATTGCAGAATATTTTTGTGGAGATAATTTACCTGATTTGGGTATTTAATAAATGTCGATCGTTTTCCCCAGTAAGATATTGCATTTAAGATATTGACATGCCTTATTTTTCATATACAAGATGTTACTACTCCATGCTTTTTTTTAATAAAAATATGGCAAGTCTGTAGTCAATGAAGCAGTTATTATACTATTTTATACTGAAACCACATTATGATGTTGCCTTTTTGCAAATGTATTTGCTCTTTTACCTTTTATATGAAAAATCAAAAAACAATAAAAACCACAAAACAAGGTAAACAAAACGCAGCAAAAGTCAAAAGTATCGTAAGTAAAAAATCTCGCGTTTTCGCTAAATAACCCTTCAGTCATACATAAGGATAATTTAGGTTTAATAGATCTCAAATCTGACACCATGTCATCCAGCTATTATTATAAGCGAAATAAGACGTTTGATCTTGAATGGTTCCTTAAACATCTGTGGAGGGGCAGAATTCAGAAATTGCCGGAGGTGGCGGTGAAGCCTCCAATGCATCCGCTAACACAGGGATATGAGCAAGGATTCAAGGGCGGTACCAAGACGACCTACTATAAAGCGTTAGTTCATTGCTGAACATGTATTGTGGTACAGGGTGTCCTCGAGTGAAAAGGGCGCTGCAAATTGAATTCGAAAAACAAAAATTATCACATTCCTACAGCATTAAGGTAGTTATCGATTTGAAGTAGCTAGTTTACCGTGAGCGTCTTCAAGATGCTATTGATACTTCACGAGTTTATTCAGATATTTTTCCTGGATGTTTCCATCCTGAGTTTCATTTATATGGCGCAAAGACCGTCGATCTGAAGACAGTAAAAGAGCCAGACAGTCCTAAATGTTGCAAATTTGTATTTTTAATCAAATGGTGACAACTTCAAGCAGTATTTACAAAAAAAAAACTTGCAGCAGGGCAGTGCCTTTTTTATGTTTTCGCTGCTGTTTTACAGCACATTAGCTTTCATATTTCAGACGTAGTGATTTTTGAAAATGAAAATCTCGACATTCAGGATATCTTGTATAGCTGAAAAATGAATCTAGATATGCCATTTTCAGACAAATTGACCAATCGACAAGGGGATGACCGGTCACGTGTGATCAACGTTCGCTTGAGTTATATTACTCTTACTCAACACTGATTTTGAATTAAACCATAAAACACCCTTCTTTAATGAAGCTATCTTTCGAAAATTGCGAAAATTGTGGCAATTAGTATTTCAGCCGAAACTGAAACTTCCAACTGAGGAGTATGGTATGGATTGGAAGGTAAGACAGTGATGTATTTCCAAGAAAAAGCAAACTCGGTCTTTATCAATTGATATTAGTAATAATAATAATAATATCAGTTTGTTAAAAAGAAAAACTCTATGTAATAATCAGTGTTTATCAAATATTATTAAGACTTAGGTAAAGAAAACTAAAACAGTACTACATTTCTCTCTTAAAACAAAATAAATAATATTTCTTGTTTCCAACATTTTGTAAAAAAACAGACAATAAAACAAGAAGAATAAGTTATGGCTTAGTGCACCAATACTATTTAACCTTAGTTTAGATGGAAACCTAGTTTAATTTGAAGATCTTCTTGCATGAGTACTTAAAATTTTGCGAACTGTGTTTAACTTAAACCTTCAACTTCTGAAGGTTAAATATTGTCTAATTCATTTTTACTCTTAGATTTTAATGGTCATGATATTTCAAACACTGATTTGGGGATCCTTGAAGTAATACATATTAGTTTTCTAGAACAATTATTGACATTCTGGTAATCTGAAAGTAGTCCATCATCTGTCTTATCACTTGTATCAAGCATTTTAGTTACTTTGTTGCTCTAGAGTGGCAAAGCTGTATTTTATGATCAGTCCTTGGAAATCAAAAACACATACTTTTTCAACATTCTTTTGTCAGATCGGATTGGGATACCTAAATGGTAAATGCACAATCCTTTCCACAATAATGATTGATCAACATCTTGATTTGTTGTTGATGGCCTAAGTTTATTTCAGTTATTCCAATCCATTCATGAAAATAATCATATTAAAAATGCATATCTTTAATTCCCAATTGCAAGCCAACATAAACAAAGTGCTTTGAGCTTTCACGGATTCCGGGCCAAGCACATCGTCACAATGACCCTGTCCAAATTAACAAAAATAAAGGACAACAATTTTGGAGTGGGGGTTTTTTGGGAGTCCGATGATAATTAGCATCTGGTATTTATAACTGCAATTTTCCATATCTGTACCATGTTATTGTGTTTACATAGGCTGAAATTTCAATTTCTACAGAAAAGTGACAAATAAAGCCTATAGGCGGTAATAGGGTCGATACTTTGGAAGCCATATCGGCACTATGGAATCAAGAAGAGTATTGAAACACCAAAATTCCAGGCAAAATCAGCCAAAACGGCAGTAAATGGCTGCATATTCGACAATTACCAACGGAATTTCCCGTGTAGATGTCCCACTTTTCCGAAAATGCACTCGGGAAAACAACACAGTGAATGCAGGCTACCTTCCATACAAAATGACAGTCCGACGGTAAATGGACAGAGCAATTCGACTGGTCCTCGCACACTTCATTTCACAATTTTTCTGTTAAAAAACATATTCTAACCAAGGAAACGTGTCGTGATATAACAAATAGGAACTGCACTTTATGATGCACGTGCAAAATATAGCCACCGTGTCCGGAAAACAATAAATAATCCACCCTAATCGGCTGTCAAAGAAACCACTTACCCGACGAGGTTATTGCAGCCTGGATAGCAAGGGAAGGCCCGGAGACAAGTGTCGAGGACCATCGCACATACTAAAATTTCCCATTAATCGCGGTTTTGTCGAGTTTTAGGTTAATATCAACAAATAAACTTTGGAATTAATTTGGCATAGGGCGAAGCCTGTAAACGCGCACCCGTTCACTGAGGCACGTATTCGATAATGTGCGCATGCGCACCCACAGCTGATAGGTGATAGTTGATCACAGAGTTGCAACATCATACTTCGAGTTCAGGCAAACATGGATATTAAACAAAGTACATAGTCTTATTTCAATCAGTATCTTCTCTTCAAAAATGATCTGGTCAGAGATTCGTACGTTAGTTTGGCTGTCTGATGGCATTTTGTTTTTCTACCCGCGCAAGACAAGAAATGGCTGCACCGATTATTGATTTTGGAGAGTGGTATACTTGTAGGTTGTGGGGTCATAGGTACGTAGTAGGTATTGCTGCATTTTTGAAAATGGATGTCGACGGACTTATGGTAAAAAACAGAAGAATGTTCAGATCACTCTTTGAAATTTTAAAAATAAAATAGACCCTAAGTTTTAAAATGATATATTTTGTTCATTCAGCCTTCGCATTAATCTCCAATGGTCAATCTTTGTAGGTCTTTCCCAGATGTTTCGGAAAGACGTGGCAACATGGATCCATAGTGGTGGATAGAGGGACGTCGATGAACATCGGTGGTGTGGTAGAATTTAAATATTGGAAGAATTTGTGTGCACTGCTGGTTGCAAGCTTCTGGCTGGTATTCTGGTTGCATCCTTGAGTTGCACATTTAGCAATAATCCACTAACACTTATACATATCATGCTACTGATTGCGGTCGGACCAACGATGGACCACTTTTATTTTGCTACAATATCAGATTGTCATATAAGTAGGTATATACCTAATAATTTGTATGTATGAATTATTATGAAATTTACAACTGCGATACTACAATATCGGCAAATGTAAATTGCTTTGGTTGTGGAAAAAGTGTAGCGTTCAATTGAAATTCAAATTAACTAAATACTTGCGCAGATCTCGGAATATAGCTTAAGTATTTCTCGGGCGGTAAAATAGTATAAGTACTTTGCGCTATATGCTGTGACTTTTTGGCAATGGACTCTGTACTGTGAAAATTTTATTTCATGAGAGCTGGAGGTATTAAAGAATTACTAAAAATAAATACCCATGAAAAAATGCCCTTTCACGTTTGTTTTTATTTGAGTGTAACCACCCATGCGGCGTCCAAAAATTATCCAGGATGAAATAGCTATGAAACATTCCCATTGTTGACGCCAGGATATCTCATTTATAATGGTTGGCTATGTTCAGGTAGAATAGGTGAATCAATGGTCCAAATCAACGACGATGAAAAATTGTTGGTTTTTCATGTCGTTGGTCCAATCCATCACATAAAACGCACCATCATGGTCACAGATTATTCATAGTCTTATGAGGTGTTCACCTTTTCTAATCTCAGACTCTTCCTGCTTATGGAAATATATCGTCCCAAGTATGACCTAATATCAAAATTCATTATTTCAAAACAACCTCTCAAGCAGAGCTGCGTGAATAATGTGTTTGTGGATATCAAAAAAATGTGGTTTACCTAAATTCAAATAAAATTTTAGGCGGGCTACGCCAGCTAGCTAGTGCCATCTCTTAAGCAGCGTAATAAATAAATGAACGTAAAGTAATTCCTCACAGAAATCTTTCTGATTTATAGGTCCAAAAAACTGCAGGAAACTGTAGAAAAATGATACTGCCATAAGGTAAATGCGTCTAGTAACCAGTTCAACCTCTTGCACATAATAATTTTACTACGAGGGATGTCTTTTAAGTTTTGCATATAGAAACTTAGTAGGCCGCGCGGATCGAACGTCAGTACTGAATCTTACCCTCACTCTTTAGTAAACTTATATTCAAAGTTTCACAACAATACGTGCAGTGTTCTCACTACAGTGAATTTTTAAGTGTCACCAAGTCATTAGAAAAATGGAACTCAACCGAGAACATTTTCGCGCCATAATTTATTACAACTTTCAGAGACAGTTATCGCAACAAGAATGCCTTGCTGAGTTACTGTCTGTTTTCGGCAACGAAGCGCCACATCAGTCGACAATTTCCCGTTGGTATGGAGAATTCAAACGTGGACGGGTGAGTCTTAGCGACGATCCCAGGGTGGGTCCACCAAAAACGGCAGTCACCCAGGAAAACGGCGATGCTGTGCGCAAACTCATGATTGAAGAGCAGAAAGCAGCCAGCGTTAATTGGTGTCAACAAACGCTTGACCGGTTCAATTCGGTAAACTCAAAAAATGTGTACCTACAGCATTGTTAGTGGTGACGAATCGTGGATTTACTGTTATGAACCAGAAAATAAACGACAGTCGGCTGTTTGGGCGTTCCAAGGTAAAGAAAAGCCAACAAAAGTCATCCGTTCTCGAAGTGTTTCGAAAAAGATGGTCGCGACATTTGTGTCAAAAGCGGGTCATATTGCAACAATTCCTCTTAATGAACAAAGAACTGTTACTGCGGATTGGTATACCACCACTTGTTTGCCAAAAGTCATCACCGAGCTTCGAAAAATCAACCCCGAAAGACGAATCATCCACCACCAGGACAATGCAAGCTTGCACACAGCCCAAAAAACAACGCAGTATTTAACGTGGAATTATTGGACCAACCTCCATAATAGTCCCGATCTAAGTCCTAACGATTTCTTTACTTTCTCGAAAATTAAAAACAGACGGCGTGGTCAAAGGTTCCAGTCACCAGAAGAAGCAGTTGACGCATTCAAAAATGCCGTTTTGGATCTGCCAGCAAACGAGTGGAATAAGTGCTTCGATAACTGGTTCGAGCGCCATGCAGATGTGTATTAATCTTCGTGGAGAATATTTCGAAAAACCATAAAATCATTTAAAACTACCTACCGTATTGTTTTAGTTCCATATGCAAAACTTAAAAGCCATCCCTCGTAAAAAAGTGGTTCTGAAAGTTTAATTCCTAAAACTTCTAGAGACATCTAGTGGTGCTTGTTGTGATACCAGTACCATCTAGATTCTAGACTACTCTGGAACAAAGGTAGCTGCTATAAAGAACCTTGTTTTGTGGTTCTATCGTTCTATTTTGATAGTTGACTTGAAATTCGAGCGCGCATTGATAAGGTGGATTTTCGCGACCTTGATTCTACGAAGCTTCTGGAAAGCGATCTATTGTTTGCCGGCCGGCCTTTATTATTCCGCGATTTTTGTGTTAAGAAAAGTTTAAAATGGCAAGTATTCTCCTTCCAATCATTAACGAACAACAACGATTGATCTCCAGTTTGCTGGGAAGAGGTGAACCGGCTTTGAGGCTCAAACTGGCTGATGAAGACTTCATAAGGTAAGCATTTTTCCTCTATTGATTTAGGATTGGTTACTCTGTAGCTGCATATTTATATCCTCACCCAAAACGATGTTATTATAATGTGTGGCAAAAGTCAACAATTTATAAATTCTGTATGCTTCAATCTTTTATCTACGTTGGTCATATGTATAACGAACGCATTAATAAAAAATTATATTATAAGGGAATATACTCAATCATAGGAACAATACAATTAGAAGTGATAGCACAAAGACATCAGACATATATGTGGTATAAAATTAAAAGTAAATAAGTATAAATGAAGTAAATATAAAAAAAAATAGAGACAAAATATAATAAAATCACACTGCAGTGCACATCTCAATGTCCCACCACAGCATAATTATGTCTATAAGATTGGCCAGAATTACATCATGAGCATCACTAGCCCAACTTATTATTTATTAAACTGTACAGGACTGTAACTTCATTAATATGATGACGGTATGCAAAAAAAGGTGTCAATGGAATAATTCAAGTAATGAGTTGTGCAGAAACTCCCTTTCAGGGTAGTATCCATAAACTTTAAAGTGCATATATTTTAAGCTCTTGCGTTGAACTAATTCTATCGCTGCCTTTGCATTTTGGTACAATGGTGACCAGATCAATGAGGCATACTCTAGTTTAGTTTTTATAATTTTTTTAATATATACTGTTTTGAGACTTCTTATATCTGCAAAGCTTGAGCAATTTCTAATACAATATCCCAATACCTTATTTGACGTTGCAACCATTTCTCTTATGTGTTCTGCAAATTTGAGCCTACTATCAAAAATTACCCCTAAGTCATTGAAGGATTGACATCTTTCTATTTTAGTGTTGTTGATATGATAGGAAAAATGAATGTGGTTGACCTCATGGGAAAAGCTTGAGACTTTACATTTGCTTATGTTTATTTTGAGTTTATTGTTCTTACCATGAACTCATTAGTGCAGCTAGGCATATAGGGCACTTAAGCAAAAATTTCTGATGGCCCTTTGTGACGTTGAGACTTCATTGTCTCTGTGAATAGTTAATTGGATAACCTGCATTGACGGCAACAGCAGTTTACCAAAAGATATCTCTTGAACAGCGAAGAAATGGATGCCTCATTTATCTGGGGATGGAGACACTTCATATACTATTATTGCTTTGTAATGAATGGGGTTTCCTAAACCTAAGGGCTATCCTGTGGAGCCATTTGATAGGAACACTGAAATGTCTTGCACTACCAAAGACAAAGTTTAAGGACAGATAAAAAACAATTAAATTGTGTTGAATACAAGAAGTATTGTACAAGATATAGATATGATTTACTGAAAATTCACAAATCAGGAAACATCATTGCTATCATGTTTGACCTTTCTATGTCAATGATCCTATAGGAGAAGGTTATAACCTTCTACCACCTGAAATAAAGAATCAAACAAGCATTAACAAGTTTAAAAAGGAATTAAAAAAATTGATATCTGCTCCTTGATCTAAAATTCATCAAGCTATCGACCTAAAGACTATTTATTTGGAATAACATTTTCGCATTATTCTCGCACCAACAAATTAATATACTACTTACCTTTACGATTCAGGATGTTCACTTATTCTAATTAAATATTAAGATACATATTTCATTATGCTTATTTTCAACATACAATATGTTAGTAAAATTTATAATGCTGCAAATGTACACAAAACATGTATTGTAGGTTTGTCTATATTGTTATATTAATGAATGTGTTATTATTACATCTTCAGGTTGTGTAGGGTATAAAACTTTGATTTATTGTGCATAGTCACATAGCCCATGCACAAGTAACTTACGTTTTATGGGATCATTCTTATGTATTTGAATGTTATTTGTAAACACTTCGAATAAATACTATTATTATTATATGCATATTTATATTATTCAGCATATTACAAAGAAACTTAGATTTTTGTTATACATTTTCAGATATTACCAAAAAAATTTGAACGAAACTCAATTAAAAATTTTATATCACTCGCTAATTCAATGCCACATAACCCATGGAATTTTTAAATCATAAAAAATGTACAACAAACATTTATCATATCCTTCCAAAATGCCGTTTATAGAATCAAAACTATTGAATATAAAAAAATATTTTGGTATAACATTGTTAGAATTCCATAAAAACAAACATTCATCTATTTGAAAAATAATGAATATGATACTAGAAATAAAAATAACATGCAACATCAGAAAAGGAAATAATTATACCATAACATACCAACAAATATAAGAAAAAGTAAGAGTATTATTTTAAAAAAAGATCTACACGAGTGTGGCTATTGAATATAGGAACAAACAAGATGTCATTTATGAAAAATTGGGACATAAATATCTATCTTTTCTGCGTAACTGATCTGCAAAACAAAGTTACTGTACTATATTTATATTGTATATTTTTTTCTGGCCCTTGTCAATATTTTAGATCATTTGTTGTTACTACTTACTACTGTATTATGTGTTGTAAAGAGATGCTTGCACAAGGATATCTTCTATTTATGTTATATTGATTTATTATTATTATATAATATGCTATCAGATATTTTGCAGAACAATTTGGAACTTATACCAACATAAACAGATAATACATAAACAGTACGAGGTTTGTGCGGAAAATACGTATAAAAAATTCCGGGCGTCGTGTAAAGGCATTGTGGAGGGGTGGCCCGGTGGTTCCCTCTGTCTACGCAATCCCTTCTATGCTCATTTCGTGCCAAAGCGCTCAGCGAGTACGTAGGATTTACGTGTCTTGTTGAAAGTAACCCTTTTTTTACCTGCCGTCGGCATGGAGCTCTCTCTGATCGAGGAACAGCACATCAAGTTTCTTGCCAAGCTAGCCAAGAAAGGTCGTGAGATTTTTGAGTGTTTGGAACAAGTTCATGGAGACAATTCTCTGAAGGAACCAACCGTCAACAAGTGGTTTAAAAGGTTTCGGGAAGGCCAAGATGTGAAAGATGATCAATGCTCAGGACGCTCCTCCACATCGACTCTGGGGAAAATGCTGAACGAATTCGGGGCTGTATTCTTAAGGACCGTCGATTGTTATGATAGTTGAGGAACTGTCAATCCAAAAATCAATCGTCCACGGAATTCTGACAGAAAAACTAGACATGAAAAAATTGTGCGCGAAAATCGTTTCGACGCTCTTGACTCCAGAACAGAAAGCAAGGACAGTTGCTTGCTGTGAGGATTGGTTGGAAGTAGAGGAAAGGGGGGACTTTCTCAACCGAGTCATCACTGGAGACGAGCGTTGGTTCTACGAATTCGATTTGGAGCTGAAATCTCAAAATATGGAGTGGAAGCAAGCAGGGGAACCGAGAAACAAAAAAGTCGAAAAAATCAAGGTCCAATGTGAAAACAATTTTGATTGTTTTCTTTGATTCTTGGGGCATTGTTCACCAGGACTTTGTTCCCGGCTAGACAGTGAACGGAAATGTCTACATTGCATACTCTCGGAGCTCGTGTGGCCCGAGTTCGACCGGATTTGGCACAAGGGGCCAGGTAGACAACGCGCCTGCTCACACGGCTCTCATGCGTGAGTCTTTGGCCCGAAGTTCACCGTGACAGAACACCCGCCTTATTCACCCGATTTAGCCCCTTGCGACTTCTTTCTGTTCCCAAAATGCAAACTGATGCTTCGGAGGCGGCACTTGGGGGATGTGGAAGCCATCAAGACAGAAACGACATGCCGAATAAAGAGCCTCACAGAGAAGACTTTCAGCGATCGTATCAACAATGGAAATGGCGCTGACAGAAGTTAATCTTGTCTCAGCTGGAGTACTTTGAAGGAGACCATATTGAAATACCTGAACATTTTTAAAATAATGTTTTTATTCCACTTAAATAATAATAATAAATTGATAGGACCTCATTTGTAGAAAAAGGAATGTAACTGTTTCTTTGTGTTTTGTTTTCACATTATTCTCATCTCCAAAATAGCTCTAATAAGAAGAACTAAAGACAACTCCAAAATTGAACATTGTCCTTCATGGAAAAAAAGTTCATATAAGTATAGCAGCTTGCCTGCACAAATGCCACTGATGCATAATTTAATCTATCAAAGACAGTCAAGTTAAACACCCCATATTATGGAGACAAAGCATTTCCATATGTATATTTGTATGATTTTGTTTTCATACTTTAACATACTAAATCTGTGCTTCAATGTTCCTGGCATCTTGCAACAACCTGTTACAGATGTTCCAATTTTTAACCTGGTTGTGTTTTTCTCGTTTCAGTCCATTGCTGCCAAAAAGGGAACGTCGTCATGCTTTGGCCCCATACAATAAAAGCTTGCGTAAATTAGTGCGTGATGATGGTAAAAACTATGTGGTGAACATAGACGTACAACAGTTTGCTCCTGAGGAAATCTCTGTGAAAGCAGTTGGTGATGACACCATCATTGTTGAATGCAAGCATGAAGAGAAGCCTGATGAACATGGTTCCATCTATAGGTGAGTAATCTTCACTAGGTTGCCTCTATGCAGCGTAGCAAGCATAGGCGCACAGAATGGCTTTGTGGTTGGCCTATCAACCAGTACTTTTTTGTCACTGGATTCTCTGGTTTACTTTTGTACTGGCGTTGACATCAGGCGTTTTGAATTGTTTTCAGTATTTTATCTAGTTACAAAGAAAGTAGCAAATTATCTTTTCTTTTTTACAGACACTTCCTTAGGCGCTACAAACTCCCCAAGGGCCATGATGTTTCTAAGTGTGTCTCAAAGTTGTCATCAGATGGAGTTTTGACCATCACTGCACCTCACGTTGAAAAGAACAAAAAAGCTGAAGTAGAAATTCCAATTACTCTAACCAATCAGCCATCTCAAGCAATTCAACATCAGGAATCATCTGAAACTCAGGATGCAGAAATGCAAGATGTGTCGCCAAAGAAAGGCAAGGGTTCTAAGAAGTAGTTCTTTCCCTTCAGTTCTACTTTGATCCGAATACTGCATTTAAAATATGAATAATTTGCAAGTTTCTTACGAATTTCAAGTTGGTGGTGTTTGTAGTTTTGTTTTTGAATGCGAATTATGCCGAAACATGTTGACAGTGTAGTATCAGGAAGCATTTTTGTTTAAATATGATTATTTTTTTGATCTCGTTCACTGTTCAGTTTCTTACAGATTCAACTATTTCTAATAAGATTCATATCGACTGATTGAGTCAGTATTTTGTATAAGTAATATAAGCAGTTTTGTATGTTTGTTTTATAATAAAATCCTTATGTATTATCTTTTTTGTTTCTGTGTGCAGAGTCAGTGTAGAGCTACCACCAAAAAAATTACAGCAAAAATGTGTTCACTGTGTTCTTGCAAGACCTTCCCAGAAAAAATACGTCGTTCTGCGCAAGGAGGTCGCAAAAGCCGAGAGTCCTGTACTTTTTATTGCTTTTACCAAGTTTACATTCAGCTCAATTGGGCAGGGAAGTGGTCAGCGTGAGAATGTAAACACGTTCCTTGCGCTGCCACTGCTCATGCTGCTGCCATTGCCCGGCGCTCCCTCAATTGTCGGTTTTTCGTGCGGAAGTCAAAGGACTGACAGCGCGAGCGCGAGTGAGTGTTAACATTTAACCAGTAATACATTCCACCGTCTCGCTCACTTGCTGTAGGTTGTGCGTGTGTTTTCTAGCCTGTTGTCATTTTTTTATTTAACTTGGTGTTTTGCGATATTCTGTGGCTATTTATAATGCCACCGTCTCCGCCACCCCCGGAGTGGAGCAATGAGAAAATAATTAAGTTCTTGGAACTGTACGGTGTACGCAACTGAGCGAGTGATATGGGATCCATCTGATAAAAGTCGTAAGTTAAAACATAAAGTACACGATGCTTGGAATCGCATCAGCAATAGCTTGGATAATACTCCAATAGAGGACTTAAAATCGAAGAAGAAATCCCTTATGGCCACGTTTCGACCTCTATTAAAGAAAAAAAAGCTTCCATTCGTTCTGGAGCAGGTGCTGACGATGTGTTCCAACCAATATGGTTTGCTTTCGAAATTATGGAGAGCTTTTTGGGATCACTTTATGACGTTGCGGAGACTATAAACACGGTAGACACGGTAAGTTCATTCATATATTAAAAAAACACCTGTTATTGTTGTAACAATAATTTATTAGGTAGGTATTAAATATCATCTACTCTACTGTATTTATATTATGGAAATAATGACCAAATTCAGTTCGAATTTCGCAAATATTTCTTGGCGAGCGTCTTGGCACATCTGCTATTGGCCTAATAGCTGAAGTCTTTGGGTTGGTTTGTATTTGTCTCCAAGAGCCATTCACCTGTACACCGTCAATTATGGAATCAAAAGTTCCAGGGGGGGGTGTATAAGTTTCGAGAAAACTTGCTGTTTCTTAAGAAATTATGTAATAAAAGACAGGTTTTTCTATGTCAATTCCGATTGGTTTTTTAAAAATTCGAAAAACAGTAGTTAAAACACCGAAAACATTTTCAACAATGACACGAGAACTTGAAAGTTTGTAATTGAAAGTACGTTCCATTGTGCCACTATTATGATTACTTGGAAAAGGTTTCATTATATGTTTATGTAATGCAAAAGCTCCATCACCAAGAAATACATAGGGCACATCTGTTTGTCTTCCGGGTAATGGGGCATCTGGTGGCAAATTAATAGTATTTGTGTCAATTTTTTGCCAAAGTAAAGAGTTTCGAAAAATCCCCCCATCACTAATGCGCCCCTGGCCGCCGATGTCCGCAAAAGTAAAACGGTATTGACTATCCACTAAAGCCATTAGTACGATGCTATGCGTACCCTTAAAGTTATAAAATTTTGAGCCACTGTGTGCTGGGCGATTAATTACGATGTGCTTCCCATCTATAGCTCCAACACATCGTGGAAACTTATGTCTAAATCCCTCTTCTATATGTAACCATTCCTCTGGTGTTTGTGGTAACTGCGAGAATGACAACATTAAATATACATTAAAAATAAAGAAAAACTATACAACATATATATATATATACATATATATATGATAAATATACAAATAATACTTTTTTTTCAGACTTTACATAGTGAAGATATGCCAGCCCCACCTCAAGCGCCAATTCAGCCTCAACAAGCTGTCGAAATACCACTTTCATCGCCATCACAGTCAATCTCATCGCGACCACACACCAAACCAATAAAAAAGCAAGTCTCAATACAGATGAAGCACAAAATAAAATATCTGAAAGTTTGGACACTCTGAACCATGTATTAAGAGAAAAAAGAAATTATGTGAATGATGAAGATGAGTGTGATATATATGCGAAACTTTTAGCAAAAAGGTTACGAAAATATCCGGAGTCAATGCGACAAATAGTCATGTACCGAATAGATGGCTTGCTTTTAGAAATTCCTTGTCCTGTTGAACGACCATCAAGTGCCTACTCATTTCAATCGTCGCAATCACAACTTTCCGATTGCCAAATGTTAACACAGTCTCCAATGCATTCTCCACAACTTTATGCCATGCTACCATCACGATCTGTGAATTCACCAGTACCGATCAGTATCCCGGAAACAAATGATACACCTCAAAACCAACAAATTGATAATATCATTGCAAAAGCATACTGGAACGCTTCCCAAATGTAGGAAATTGTATTAAGTTATGTGTCTAATGAATACTGTTCTTTTATTAGACATTAAATACATATTTCGGCTCTGTGCCTACGGCCTGACCGTTGAGATTACGTTCCCTATCTACAGCTCCGGAGTCAGTATGTGTGCGTCTCTAGTCCCCCTTACCTTCGTCCTCCTCCCCTTTCTGTACGCCCATGCTCCTTGGAGCGATGCGCGCGCTGGCTAGTGGCGAGCGATTCCCCGCTCGCCCTTCAGTACGCTTTTATCTATCGCACGGATAGGGTGTGTGCGTGTGCGTATGTGTAACATCGCGAGTTAAACGTTGTGTAACGTTCGAGAGAATAATAGTATAAATGCAAAAGTAAGAGACAAAAACCTTAGTTTGACAATTTAGTGTAGATGGCTACCATTTGATATAAAATTGTCACGGTCTCGGATCACTCGGTCCAGACGTGAGACTCCCTTCTAATGCATCTTGGGCAAATTCGCTAGAGCATAATATGGGCACTTGTGTGCAAGCGCACAATGCCCATTCATAGGAAAATTGAAGGGAGTCCTGCAGCCGGATCCATCTACACAATGTTTCGGCCCGACCGGCCCGTCAAGTCGGCCCGACCAGCTGCAGACTTCGGCCCGACCGGCTGCAGACTTCGGCCCGACCGGCTGCAGACTTCGGCCCGACCGGCCGCTAAATTCAGCCCGACCGGCTGCGAATTTTGGCCCGACCGGCCGCTACGTTCGGTCCGACCGGCTGCAAATTTTGGCCCGACCGGCTGCAGAATTTGGCCCGAACGGCTGCAGATTTCGGCCCGACCGACTAACTAATTATAGCACATCTGCTTCCAGATGGCGATGGCAACCAATTTTGTTACTCTGGGTGAACTCTGGTCCAGCCACGTTGAAAAGGAGGAAGAAGATGAAGCGATATTTTCCAGAATCAAGGTCTTAATAGAGAACCATCTGCCAGACGGCTGGAGAGACTGGAAGGTGATTGACTGGAAGAAAGAAGATCTATTTGGGAAAAAGATAGACCACAAAGTATTGAACAAAATTCGCTTCGCCCTCCCCACATTGGAACTGGTGAAAGCATTCTACCCAGAAGCAACATCGGTGGGAGAGAAAACCTACCGAAATATAAAATTGAGGCTTCTCGACTGGAACCTCTGTAGAGCATTGATCATGAGCCCACGGCAGGTAGCGTGTCAGTTACGAGGATCTATGGCTCAAGCGGAGCTCTTTAATAAGGCGGTGGAACCACTTAAACATACTATGCGTTCCAGAGAGCTGACGTCGGAGGCCCTTTCAACGGACGGGGAGTCTAATTATACGTCCCGAAGTAAAAGGAGACGGTGTCAATCGTCCAGCTCAGACGACGAGTACCCGGTCAGAACCGAGAAACCAATGAAGAGGAGGCGGCGAGTATTGTCTTCGAGCTCGGAGGAGGATGTCAATGAGACAAGGCTACGCCGCGTGGAAAGCATGGTCGAGAATCTTTACCACTTGGTCTCAGGAAATAAAGAGAACGATGGCAGCGTCATGAATTCGACGTGGCAAGCTCCAACTCCTACAGGTGAAGAGCTGTATGACGCCGACAGTATTGGCACATGTGTAAACGACTGGGACACGTTTTCCCCTGCCACTAGGGAAATCGAGCCTACAGCCCCTAGGGCGGACCCAGTAATCGAGACACAGGGCATGAAATGCCAGCGTTTCGGGGAAGAGACATGGAACAAGATTCGTTACGTGGACGCTCAGAAAAAACTCCACGCATCACCAGTCTTCAGTACTCTGAAGGTTAACTCATCCTTGTACAACAATGGACATGCAAGCCCAATGACGAAAATTGCTCCTGTCCGCTGGCAGAGTAATTTGGGAAAAGTCGCACTGAGACAGAAGGTGCCTCAAGGAACTTCTCATGAAAAGTATCTGCGTCAAGGTTCATTTAAAAAAATGAAGAAGGCAGAGTTTAAGCATTCGCGTAAGCCGGGGGCGAAAAGTCATACCAAGCTAGCTCGTAAGGAGCAACCACCTTTAGATAAAAGGCGGAGTTTTTGACAGTTTTCAGGCAGGACAACTCGCCAAATATGTCTCTGCTTGGAAAAGTATGGGAGCCTCACAATCGATTCTCAGTATCCTGAAAGGCTACGTGATCCCTTTCTCAATAAAGCCACCAATAACAGTACTATCCCAACCGATACTAAACAAATTCGAGACACCAGCATCCACACAAATGGATCGAGAAATACAAAACCTCATAAATCAAAAGGTGGTAGTAAAACTGCAAACAAAAACAGGTTTCTTATCAAAGATGTTTTTGACGCCGAAATCGGGGCGCTTGTGGAGACCAGTGTTCAATCTAAAAAGATTGAACAGCTTCATCACGCCCAAGAAGTTCCGCCTTATGAACCATCGCAAACTGCCATTATTTCTCCAGGAAAGAGATTATATAGTAAAAGTCGACCTTTCTCAAGCATATTTCCATTTGCCAATAAAGCAAAAGCATTGGCGTTATCTGGGACTTTATTACCGGCAAAACATCTACGCTATGACAGCACTACCATTTGGCCTAAGCTCCGCTCCACAGGTGTTTGCAAAAGTTACGAACTGGCTGGCGAGCTACTTGAGGAAACAAAACATTCGAGTAATGGTCTATTTGGACGATTTTTTGATCGCAAACCAGAATCCAGAAGAACTAAAGCGAGAGGTATCCACCCTGATAGATACTCTCATAAAGCTGGGTTTCTGCATCAACCTGGAGAAGTCCGAAATAAGACCTACACAGAAATTGGCATATCTAGGTATTATGTGGAACACCATAAGAAATCAAAAGAGTTTACCGGAGGACAAAATCCACCGTCTGCAAACATCAATCCAAGCTGGAATCAAGAGCAAGACTTGGAGCTGGAAGCAGGTAAAGGCACTGCTAGGGAGAATGAAATTTGCCTCGTTTGTTATCCCATTGGGTCGACTACATTGCAGAAAGATACAAAGAGCAGTCAATCGGATGTCAGAAAACCAACCAAAGAAACTGTTCAATATAGACCTGGAAGTATTGCGAGAGCTAAGATGGTGGGAGAAAAACTTAAAAGGGTCATCCATAATCTGCATAAAAGAACCGGAAGTTCATATAATAACCGATGCCTCAAACACGGGCTGGGGAGCCCAAGTAGGAGACACTTTGAGGAAAGGAAACTGGACAGAGCAGCAGGAAAAGTGGCATATCAACAAAAAAGAAATGTTCGTGATCTACTTAGCGCTAAGAAACCACCTAGATCGATTGGCAAACAAAACACTGTTAATTCAGACGGACAACAGGACGGTGGTTTCCTACTTGAGAAATCAAGGAGGAACCAAGTCGGTCACGCTTTTGGCATTGACCAGGAAGATCCTGGAGCTGGCACATCAATACAGTATGTCTCTGAGAATAGAACATATTCCAGGAAACTACAATATTGTGACCGACCACCTATCCAGAGGAAAGGATCTGCCAGACTGGCACTTATCAAGGATAGCTCAGAAGAGGATCTTCGAAAAGTGGGGAACCCCTTGCATCGACCTATTTGCGACTCCAGAATCAGCCGTCGTTACAAGATTTGTAACGCAATTCCCATGCAAGGAGGCAGAATTCGTCAACGCATTTACAAGAACGTGGGAGTACAAGCTAGCGTGGATATTCCCTCCTCCACCCCTAATACCAAGAGTTCTCCAACACCTCAACTATTGTCAGGGAGTTTTCATAATGATAGTCCCCAGGTGGGAAAGGGTGTTCTGGCGGCCCCTGCTGAAGAGACGTGCCATCGACCACCCGTTCACCATTCGGAATCTGAAGGCTCACCTGGAAGATCTTCAAACCAACCAGCCTCCTCCAAAGGTAATGGATTTACACCTGGAGGCATGGAAGATACGGGGTGGTCCGATATAGCGAATCACTGGTCAAAGGATGAAAGGAGAATCTTAGAAACATCCTGGCGCAAGTCAACTCTCAAAACGTATGCCGTTGCATGGAAAAGTTGGCAATCGTGGGCGAAGAAAAGAAGAGTTTCAGTTAAAAATCCAAACCCCACGCAGGTGGCTCAATACCTCTGCTTCCTACACAACACAAGAAAATTGGCGCTTAGAACGATCCTATTACATAAATCCACCATTGCGACATTCTCCAATCCACTACATAGTGAAGGAGTTTCCAGTAGCCCAACAGTGAAACAGGTAATTAGAGGTATTGCAAATGCAAATCCTCCAGCAACTAGGCCAAAGATTTGGAACATCGATAAACTTCTATCTTGGATTAATGATAACCATCCAGATACGAATAGTATCTTTCAAGTGGCCCGGCATCTATCGCTGCTTTTGCTGCTATCATCGGGAAGGAGAGTCCATGACTTGACACTCCTTCGAATAGATTCTGGTTTCTTTGAACAAACCGAAGAATACATAATTTTCTGGCCACAACATGGATCTAAGACAGACAAGCATAACTACGTCCAGTCAGGCTGGAAACTCCTCAAAAATCGAGAATGCATCTGGGACATGTACACTGGACAACCATATATCTAGAAATATCAGAAAAGAGAAGGAACCTCCACTGTCGACCGATTCCTCAACTATTCGTCACAACTCGTGGGAAGATAGGACCGGCATCTCGGTCAGTGATAGCAGGATGGGTCCGCACAGCGTTGAAATCGGCAGGTATAGAAGGAGGAGCCGGCAGTACCCGCTCGGCAGTGGCAACATCCCGCTTCAATGATAACATGCCATTGGATGAGGTTTTGCAGAAAGGAAATTGGCAGGGATCAAGCAATTTCTTCAAACACTACTATAAAAATATCGATAAGGATTTGGTACCTGACAACAGCAACAGAAGACTTATTTCGGATAAATTTGTCCCTATATAAGTATTATCATGGCTGTGAGCCAAGAATGACTGTTACTTTTCTTTTTATGAACTGTTAGAGTTATCATATTCTGTTTATGGTCTTCATACTATAACCATGTCACAGTACGCTTTCTAACACCGTGGCGCGCCGGCAGATTGTAAACACTTCTCAACGGTCAGGCCGTAGGCACAGAGCCGAAATAGAACAATTTTCCCCCTGAAGGGAAGAAAATTGATATTTCGGGTCTTGCCATAGGCCTGACCTAGGTAACGCCTTGCCGGCGCAAGAGTACTGAAGGGCGAGCGGGGAATCGCTCGCCACTAGCCAGCGCGCGCATCGCTCCAAGGAGCATGGGCGTACAGAAAGGGGAGGAGGACGAAGGTAAGGGGGACTAGAGACGCACACATACTGACTCCGGAGCTGTAGATAGGGAACGTAATCTCAACGGTCAGGCCTATGGCAAGACCCGAAATATCAATTTTCTTCCCTTCAGGGGGAAAATTGTTCTATTTTGTGATTAGATTCCTACTTTTATTACTTACCTTAATTTGATCCTTCAGAACAGAGTTGATAGCTTTGCATACTTCAGGAACCATTATCGAAATAGCTGCTGTGGAAACCTTGAATAAGTAGTGGAGACTTCGATAACTATCCCCCGTTGCTAAATATCGTAAAGTTATTGCCAAACGTATTTTTGGTGGTATGGGTATTCGTAGTCTAGTTTGGGTTTTTTTTTATAAGAGGTTCAATATTATTTAGCAAAAATTCGAAGTCTCTAGGTGCCATTCTGCAAAAGTTAGAAAAATTATCCATACTGCGAATATCATTATTCACACGTTTGTTTGTTCTTGTGTTCAATCTGTAACGACTAAACGGATTTTTTATATTTTTCTCGAACAACATAAATACCAAAGTGTAGGGGAATTTGTAGTACTTACGTCGTTCTATTACGGTGAATTGCTAACATCCACCATCTCCTTCGTCGACGGCATCTTTTTCTTATTCGATTTCTTTTCAAAACACTTAAATAGTTATATATACTGAGCAAACATAACGCTGTCGCCGCAACAACTTCTACGTCCGCCATCGCTGTGAGTTGAAAAGTGCAGGCTGAATGTGAACACACACTCACGTCGATGCTTCCGCAGAAGTTTGAAATGCAGGGCAACGGGCAGCGCGAGTAGCAGCGGCAGTGGCTGAATGTAAACGTGGTTTTTAACTGGTTTATGGTCGAAGTATCGCAACTAGAGGAGCGGACGCTTTACATTAACCGAGTCTATCATACTGGGTTTACATGCTGCCACTCGCGCTGCCCACTGTCCTGCCGTAAATAATTCCACGGCAGCATTTGCAGCAAGTGACTGTTTACATGCAGCCACCCTTCTAACCTACCATAAACTGCTTCCAAGAAACTTTCCATTACATCAAATGCAAACCAAATGGGCTGACACACCTCATCTGCACCCGCTCCTGCATCTAATCGATTTTATTTTTTAATAGCGGCCGAAATGTTGCCATTAGCGATTTTTTTTCGACTTAAGATCTTGTATTAGGATGTTTTTCAATCCTACCATAATAATCTTTCAGCCGCATATAGCTCTAAAAAATCAATACTAGATCATTGCTCCACTCAAGTGTATTTTAAAATGAATAATTTGCCAAAAAAGGAATAAAGTAGGTTAAGATATCCCGCGTCCACGTGGTAAGGACAGGACTGACTGTTGGTACAGCGGGCAGCATGTAATCGCGGTCGCTGCCACTCGTGCTGCTGGTCCTTTGACTTCCGTCCAAAAAACCGCGAACGAAGGGAGCATGCGGCAGCGGCATGAGCATGGGCAATGCGAGCTGCGTATTTACATACTCGCGCTGCCCACTTCCCTGCTCACTGCCGTGAAAGTGGGCTGCATGTAAACCCGGTATCAGAGTGGTCGGAATTTTCTAGAAAAGTTGGCATCGGTGTTTTATCATCGATCATTCGATCATCTTTCTTCCACTTATCCTACTACTCAATAGTGCATACCTTTGACTTATTTAATTACCAATGCCTACTCAAGTGACACTGTCCTATTAATACAATAATAATACCGGTATAAATATGTACCGTCATTAGGCTTGCGCCGCTGTTTGCGAATTATGTACTATGTTTCGAAATCGTCTCAACAATCGCACTTTTAAATAACATAAAAAATACTAATTTAATGACAACTGTCAAATAATTGACTTGCCAAGGGCACTTGTAGTATGCACATTTGATCTTAACTACAGACTATGAAGAAGACAAATCCTTGACTGGATCCTGCTACATAGTCTGAATGCATTATTATACTTTGACCAACAATTAATTAAACGACCACTTTGCGGTGACTCCATGGCTGGAAATACGTCTCTGGGTAAAGTGAAGGCACTGTTTGAGAAGTCCAAACTTGGAAGGTTTTTCACCTGTAATAATTACGGCAAATCGTTTTTTGATCTTGACACACTATGAATGCAGCAGCCATAGAATGCTTCAACTACATACAGTATCTACAATTAATATACTCTATTAAATACCCGAACTCCTAAAAACCTGGCTACCACTCACTTTTTAGAAAAACGTTTAAGTTTCAGAATATCAAAAAAACAATTTGCAAATGACCTCATATATGACCTAGGCAATGACCTTAGAGATTATTTGGATGTCGTTTGTAAATTCGAATACTAACCATCTTTTGTGACAGCAGATTCGTGTCAAGCTCGAGATTCTCCATCAGAGTGCATTTTTATACATGAGATCAAGGGGTTATAAGTGGTTCAATCAGTATGATCTACTTTGTTTTATACTCCAACTACCACGAAGGCCTAAACACCCATGGGGTTCCGTGGGGGTATATGGGGACACGGGAAAGGAGGGGACGCCACACGGACTCTAGCGAAGGAACACATGTGCATGCACACATTCTGGCCTGTCCTACGAAATCCGCCGGGTGGTACCTCCGCGTTCGACAGTCATAGACCGTCTACCATCTGGAAGGTACGCGAACACTCTGAAAACTTGGCACCCACACGTTCTTAGAGAAGTTTTAGGATATCTGAAAGGTAATTTGTTGATGACCTTAAATATAACCAAGGAAATGACATCGAGGTCATTTGAAGTTTGTGAATCCAAATAGCCCAGTTTAACAGCAGATCCGTGCTGCTCGAAATTCTACGTCAGAGTGCATATTCTTACATGATGCTTAGCGGGCATAAGTGCTTCAATCAATATGATCTCCGAGGTCAACGTCTAGGGTCATATTGAAAGTCAATGACAAATTGCTTTTCAGATATTCATAAAACTTAGAACCTGTTTTCCTAAAACGTGTGGTTTTCAGAGTGCTTCTGTAGTTTTTAGCTGTTATAGTAGGTCATACTGATTAAATCACTAATGACCTCTTGACCTCACACATGAAAATGAACTCTGATGTAGAATCTCGAGCCCGGCACGAGTTTGCCGTCAAAAATGGTGGTTTCTATTTGAAATTACTTGACCCCTAAATGACCTCTAAGCTTATTGCCTATATCGTATTTGAAGTCGTCAACACATTGCTCTTTTTATATGTTGAAACCTCAGAACCTTTAAAAAAAATGCGTGGTTCGCTAAGTTTTCGGGGTGTTCGGGTATTTAATGGACCCTATGTAATAAAAAAATTCTAGAATTATAGGGATTGTCTAAACGGCAACATTGGCTTGAGACTTTCTTTATACCGGGACACCGGGGCTGCTATGAGGATACCAAAGAAATTTTGTTAATCCGACTTTTGAACTGCCTAAGGTTAGTAGAACTGGGAAAAACTTCCTCTTGCAGATTGTTCCACAATCTCGACACCCTCGGGACAAAGGCGCGGCCGTACCGGCCAGTTCTGGATGTACGAAGTTCGACACGGTTGGGATGGGAGGCCAAAGTCAGGCGGGTCTGCCTGGCACAGCGCGCGGCGGCATCATGGAAAGCAAATCCCGTTGGTGTAGCGGTAGAAGAGAGCTAGATTGCCAACGGCCCGCCTGTGCGAAAGGGTTCCGAGACTTTCTATTAGATAAGAGTCGTCGATCAGTCGGACAGACCTCCTCTGGACAGCATCTAGCATAAATAATGAAGTCGGGGCGGCAGCACCACAAACGTGTGGTACTTAAGGCTATACCTTATCTGGGCCTTGTATAGAGTGAGGTCTTGAGGAGAAATACTTCTTAGCCCTAAACAAATAGCCTAGCTTTTTCCCAGCAGCCGTCGCTATTGACGAGATGTGTTCGTGTCAGATCAAGACCTCGACGATCTGGACTCCGACCAGCCGAAGTGAACGGCTCTTTGGCAGAACTCGGCCATCCATCGAAGCGCTAGGACGCTTTTTGTTCGTCAAGGTACAGTACCGTGTTTTGGAAGAATTAAACTGTACAAGATTGTTGCGTACTCAAGCAGTGATAACTTCAAGGTCTCTCGTAAGAAAGTGTCACTGGTCTTCTTTTTTCTAGCTCAGCGACAGAGATCAGCTTGTACAGGAAAGGAGGTCGTTGATATGTACGAGGAACAGTGTCGGAGCCAAGACCGATCCCTGGGGACCACCCGCGTTGACGGATATCTTGCGGGCCAGAGAGAAAGTCAGCCATCCATCTGCAAAGCTTTTCTGGGAGGCCATGCGATGGAAGTTTGCTACAGCTGATCGAACGCTTCCCTGATATCGCGAGCAAGGACATGAGAATCACCATAAGACTGGATGAGCTTACTCCACAATTGCGTGACGTAAGCTAGGAGGTCCCCTGTCGATCGCTGGTGCTGGAAACCATACTGCCAGTCGCTAATCAAGCCGTGACGTTCGAGCTGGCCGAGAAGCTCGCGATTTATGTACCATCACCTTACTTATAACAGAAAGCAGAGCTATAGGCCTGTAGTTGTAAGGGTCGGTCTTAGATCTTTTTTTGGGATGGGCTGGACATGAGCAAATTTCTAGTTTTCTGGGAAGGTGCCGGATTCATAAGATATCTGGAAGAGACGCGAAAGAACTGGAGCAAGCTCCGCTGCGCACCTCTTCAGTGTAATGGCAAGGTCCGGACCAGAAGCTTTGTTGATGTCTTATCCTTGAATTTTGCTTCTCGCATAGTGTAGGGAACCCTTTGAATCCACGGCACTTGGGCGTTGGGGGAACGTCCATGGTGCAGTTTGGCTCTATCCAATGGTATATAAAATTAATAATAAAAGTGGGCGGAAAGTCGATCATATGTTGAATTTCATGACTTGATGGCCAGCCCCAAGGAAGTGTTGCTATTTACATTCCCTATGATGCTCGAGTTGTACAGTATTACTGGTAACATACAGTATATGCAGACTGTTTCTCGTGATACAAAGCAGGAAAATAAACACCAGAATTTATAGTAAAGCTTAATTTAATTTGATCTTTATAACATTCCTAACCAGTACAGTTTCATAGGTATTTTTTGTTCAAAAATATACACAATACAAAACTGTTAACATATATATTAGATTGCAAAAAACAAGCAACCAAACTTTTGCTTTATGTATAGGTAATTGCACCGCTGTTAACACGTCGTTAAGTTTGGAATGATTCCATTGCCTTTTTTTCAAGGAAAAAATAAAGAGTAACATCTCGAGCTACTAGAATTTTCTTTTTACAGAATTTTGAAAACAAATTTTACTGCATTCGGTACCTCTTCAAAAATTCATGCATCCACGTACTTATTTCACTTCATAAAGTTACAAAGAAGAAATAAATGAACATCGTATTAAAAGCAGTCATATATGGTGAGGCAATAAGATGCTTCCATCTCTTTCTAATACACTAAAGCACGCTTCTCGTGTTTCTCTCTCGTATACATTACGACATCAGTGGTATTTGGCTTTCACTGAATAAAAAATCGTATAAGGTATAATTTAAGTACTCTAAGACTTCTCTCCCGGATATTACGAAATTTAATACTGCCATCACAATACATATTGGTTATTAAATATGATCCAAAAGTACTTAAGATTAGTGACATTGTCCCTCTTTCCTTGAAACCAAAGCAAAAGATCACTGTTATGCGTTACCCTGATCAAAACAGATGAAAAAAAAATGAAGCTTCAATAACATAGTATATATAAATAAATGTTAATAATCACATAATCTTGATAAAAAATACCGTATAAATGCAGAGTTATTATGCGGGAAAATAAATAAAGGAAACATGGTAGAGTAGTCCAGTCAAATGGGGTACATTCAGACCACATACGAAACTGACCACGATAAAGGTGTATAATTGAAAAAGTTTTTCAGAAAAATAGTAGGCTGGACATTTTCCTTTCAATTACATGGACTGTAGAAAATGCGAATTGAAGTTTTATCAGAAATTTTTTTTTGACCACATCCTTTTTTAGTGAATGCTTAATTCGACTGGACTATGTAGTGTCTCGTTGTGTAGGAATACTAAAAGGGCGTGATCGTCCACAGTTTGGTGTTGCAGTCCTGTCCTACTGAGACCAGAGTTTGATTATCGACCCAGGCGAGTCTAGTCACCTGGCTTTGAGCATGAGCATCTGTAAAAAAATAAATTATAATGCGAAAAACATGTTTTGCAGGAAATACGATATCATTGGTATGACTTTTCAGTTCTCATGCAATGAGAAACATAATTGCGATCTTAGAACTGTTTTTGAAGGCGCCTAAAATCTAAGAAATACCTTGTGTCAGAGACAGAGGATCATATAATAAATGAGGATTACTTACTTTTTATTATAATATGCTTGGAAGGTTTCTCAACATGCCAAATTATGATACTGGTATCCAAACTGCCACTAGCTACCAATAGGGAGTCTGGAGACCAGGCCACACAGTTGACACGAGCATTATGGAAGCCCCATTCTTGAGTATTGGCAACCTAATAATAAAATAAGTTAAAATTGATGTTCAAACACATTGTAAAGAAGCAATTTTTGCATCATTTTTGTGATGTTATACCACAGATGTCATCTTAGTGTCACAAACTATTCAAAAATTATCCTACCAATTACCATGGGCGCCCGCAGGAATTTTGCCCAAAAGTCCGGCCTTTTTGATTATGTTCGGCCAAAGTTTTACCTTGTTCAGCCTGTCTGGCTTTTATATTCGTATAATCCTTTCAACCGGCTATTGAGAGAATTCTACAAATGTATGAGTCCGTATTTTGTCTTGTAAAGGGTGTCTCAATAAGAGCGCCGGATTTGATTTTCAAGAAAAACAATTTCTTTTCAAATTAAGCCAGTATCTATATTTCAACATGAAGAGGAATAGGTTGGATTAAACATGAAATAGGACATCCGGTAAATGGCCACCACGAAATCTCTGGCACAGGCTAAGTCTTTTCTTAAAATTCTGGATAACGTTTTCGCACAACTGGCTCTATTTCGTCGATAACGCGCCGTATCTCTTCTTCGCGGCGATCAACTGTTTGTGGATTGTTCGCATAAACCTTTTCCTTCACACAGCCCCAGAGGAAGAAGTTCATTGGCGTTAGACCGTACGATCTTGGTGGCCAATTTTGATCGCCAAACCGAGAGGAAACCTGATCTGCAGTAACACCATTGTTTCGCGTGCTGTGTGGTAAGGTCGCACCGTCTTGTTGGAAGAACATATCCTCCACATCAATTCGATCCAACTGGGGCCACAAAAACTCGGTTAACATTTCACGATACCCCTCACTATTAACAGATATCGCAGTTCCAGCTGCATTTTCGAAGAAATACGGTCCAATCACTCCGCCACTCCACAATGCGCACCAAACGATAACTCGCGGCGGATGCGTTGGTTGCCCGATTATTACACGAGGGTTTTCAGAACCCCGAATTCAGCAGTTATGCTTATTGACGTACCCGTACAGTTGAAAATGTGCCTCATCAGACAAAATGCTTTTCTTCGAGAAATCCGCATCAATTTGGTGGTCCTCCAGGGCCCAATCAACGGATTCGCGGATCTGCGCGTGGTCCGTTTTCTCGAGTTCATGCGTTAGTTGAACCTTGTACGCATGCAAGCACAGATCTTTTGTCAAAATTTGTTGCAGTTAAGGTTCAATTCTTGGCCACGATGCCGAATGGAAGTGCCTGGATTCTCTGCGACACTTTCCCGCACTGCGACTATATTTTCGAGGGACCGACCAAGACGGCGACGAACAGTGGTCTTCACATTCAGCAACGTGAATTTTGTCTCAAACTTTGTAATTGAACGGCAAACTGTCGACTCACTTGCGACCGAAAATTTGAATACTGCTTCATGACGTCTAATCACGTGGTCTGGACATGACAGCTGTCATCAAGTAAACACCATACCATTTGTACAACAAAAAAAATGGCGTCAAATTCAAATCCGGCGCTCTTGTTGAGATACCCTTTAGAAGATGGAAACTCTACTCTACAAGCATACAAACGTGCCGGAAGTATGAGTGACCAAAACTTTTTGAAGAGAGGAAAAGGGCAAATTTTTCCTACCAGAACTTTTATGATTTACAAAAAAAGTGATTTCTCATGTTACACGATATCAGTTCTGGTAATCTCTAAATGAAAAAATAAAACTTCTGTGAAAGACACAACACACATGTTTTTATAGATTGATTTACTTTCTTAAATTAGTGTGAGAATGAGTCACAGTAGCAGTTACAGAAATCCTACTAAACCCAACATACTCGACTTTTGACGCTGTCGTTATACTTACCAACTATTGAGTCCATGGAAGCAAAAATGAACGAAAAAACATATATAACTATTATTTTCAGATCGAATACATTCTGATGGAATGAACACGTTTACCATTTTTTGTTATTATCTCAAATGAAAGTTTAGGAAAAATGAAACAAGATGGTGAAAAAATTATTAATTTATCTCTAAAAACAAAAAAGTCACAGACTATCAAAGTTGCGCGCCGCGAAAATATTTTTATTTCGTCTGTGTTTCACGCGTGGCGTCACACTTCAGTATCCAGTTGCAACCCCCGCAGCCGATTCCTGGGCCCGAACCGACTCAATCTCCTAAACACATGCATAGGCACACATACAGCAGCACACATGGTAGGCTAAATGTCTTCCGCCCCAATTTGTTTAATTAGTTGACTGCATATACGATCGGTTATTTTTTTTATATTCCAACTACCACGAAGGCCTGAGGCCTAAACACCCATTAGGTACCGTGGGGCTATGAGCAAAATGAGAAAAAATGGTTGTTATATACTACACCGTTTCAAAATGTACGACCACAACAATTACAACCCCCTAATAAACATTTTTTCTACGTACCTTCACATGCGCCGTCCATATGGTATGAACTTACCGCAGTACTCAATAGTTATCAACTCGAAACCACGTGTCCGAGCGCACGGGTGTCTTATGAGTTGTCTATAGACTAATGACTAAACGCGCAGACGCTGTCGAACACGTACGCGACGAGACGCTGGGCACTAGAGAAGTATGACGTCAGACGCGAACGAACGGCAGCGATGATTTCGCGCAATAATGCACCAAATTTAAAATCAATTTCTCTGTCATTTATTGGCCGATTTCAACAATTTTTTCACTGGGTGATTATATTTAGTCTATATTTTGCTGGTATGTCATTACTTGTGCGATTCTGAATATCACGAAACTTCTCCATTATACCCATAAATGGGAGGTCAAACGTTTGTATATTGCTCTTTGAAACATTCATGAATGCTTATACTTTTATGAAAACAAGTTTTCATAAATACTGGTTCAATGGTTACTAAGGTATGTGATAAGCTATCTGAGCAAAATGTATTTATTCCAGAGTTAGTAGTATTTTTACCTTATATTCATCAGTACTATATAGTATCACTTTTCTATGAGCATCACTTGCTACCAAGTACTTATCATCTGGTGAATATGCTACATCCATTACAGGTCCCAAGTGTTCCAGTTCGTGCAACTGATTCAAATTATTGTTCTGTAAAATTACAAAAATTGTCTTTTAGTAAAGTACAAAAATGATTTTCAGTTCACACATGTTACACATGCTTATGTAAACATGCAACATATGGAAATAATATTGCTTTTGCCCCTTCAATTAAAAAATAGCCAACCCTATGCAGCTGTTTTATGTCTCTAGGTAGGACAACGAACGAAAGCAGCGGGAAGTGTTTCTTAGTATTTTTCGTTATATTATGCATATTTTAACGTGGTAACTAAAGCAGAGTATGAACACCGATACTCCGATGATATATGAAAGCTAAAGATATCCAATGTTAGTCTGTGTTTTATATTCATAATTTCACTAACCTGTAACTCATAAATATGCACTCTATTGTCCATATTTCCGCCAACAGCTACATGTCCTTTGGGAGAACAAGCGACGCTGGTAGGCTCATAACCAACTTTAAGCGTGCTAACCTTTTGATTATCTTTGGATACAGTTATTTCATTTATACTGGCAGTCACTATCAGATTTTGTTCTTTCAGAACGTCCATTCCCTTTGGCTGAGAGCCCAGTTTCAGTGATTGTGCCTTGTACGTGTTACCTGCAACAGACATTTTGTGGATAATATACTAAGGGCCAATTTCACCAACAACAGTCCGTTATTCTCCACCTATAGGGTAACAGTCCGTCAAATACAGCGAATGAGCTTCAAGTTCCAATCAACAAATTTTAGCAACCAATAGCTATGAAATGTTGAAAACAAAATATTGTCAAAGTATGAGATGACATCTTGTCATTGAAACATCACCAGCTTATTGAATATTAAGAAATTACATATAATTCAGTCAAAATTTAAACACATGTTTGATTTTTGAATAAAATTCATGTTTTAATTACCATTGTTAATTTTTTATTCATGATAATATTATTTTCTTCAATTGATATGCGATTTTACTGATTCAAGATCATCTACTGCTTGTTTTTTCCTATAAACCTGTTGCAGATAGCCATTAAGTACCTACTTGATGACTGGCTCTACCAAAAAGTTCATAGATATTGCTCGTTTCCAAACATTCATTAGGATTGATATTCCCACAAAACCATTCTGGTTTTTTAATATCCATACATCCATAAAGTTAAATATTTTTCGTTGTTCAGGAACTTAACAAACATCCACACTATATTAGCGATTAAGAAATACCCAAATATATGTCGTAGAGCTACCAGCAAACCTAAAATCTGCAGAAAAACAAAAAATTTGCAATATTTTTCTTTTTTCACTGAGTAGATATTCTGGGTTATATTTATATTATACGTTATTTGAATACAGATGATTATTGCATTTCAAGGAGTGACACATGTGTGGGCTCTGTCAACTCTTGGTACCAGTCACAAAACATACTCTGAAGGTTTAATTCCATGCTATTCAATCACAACACGGTGAATTGTGTGGTTGTCAGTGGCCATTTTGTGAGGGTGCGATAGTGTTGCCGGATTGTGCATTAATATCCCGTTTCACCCTCCTGGTCCCAGTGGAGTAAGCTCCGCCAACTGTTGAAATATACTCTACTATGCTTTATGAGACTGTTCGTGACATTTTTCCCAAAATCATTGCACAACACTCGAAAAAATGCAAATGAAAATTTAAAATTATTTCCATGACGCCGCAAAATAGCTCCGTCGGTACTTTGGGTTATACATCTTGACAGTAGGGATGTTCGATAGGATCCTATATTTAGAAGTATCAATACATTTCACGAGTATCGTCATCTTTCGATCCGGACTGTGTCAGAAAGAGTGACTGCCATTTGGCTGCGACATTACCCTGCCAAATCAGACATATCTTTCATCATTTTCAAATTTCAAAGAAATTGTACAAAATCTTCAAATTTGTGAAGTTAGCGAGTTTCACTTCATACGTTCTTACCAGACATGCCCAAATCATCAGTTGCTGCCGTGATATTCACCCCGACCACTGCATCTCCACGGCTAGGCGACCTGTATGTTAAATTTGTATTGATAGGACAGCGGGTTATGCTATAAATCATATGTCACAGTGTTTGTGCACTAATTGCAACAGTTAGATGATACCAAAAATATTTTCATAAATAGGAGATCTTTCCCATTCCGGATCGAACAATCTACCAAAGATGCTTATAATCATGATACCTAGTAAATTTTCACGAAAAAAATTCAAAACCAGCAAATGTAAAAGATTCATTTCGCACCCTCCACCACGGGACGTGATCGTCGTTAGACTTGGCAACCCTGCGAGTGTCAGATAGATATCCCCGCCAGTCAAAAAAATAAAAAATAGACAAACATTACTAGTTGTTTTGATTTTTGAACTTAACAGCCATTATCTGTGAAACATTTTTCATAATTTTTTGTCTATCTTCATAGTAATTGCATTATGCATCAGGGAGATCTAGGGATTGACACATCTTACACATGTTATCTGTGTTTTATTTAGGATGGAGAGGACATAATGTTTCTATTGCTTTGAAGAAATTCATTATCCCATAAATTAATAAATGATTACTATTTTATATTCTATTTTCTTGCAAAATACAGACAAATCCACACTATTCAACAGGTATGTAATGATAACTTTCAGTATATTGAAGTTGGTAAATTCAAGAGTGCCATGCATTAACAAACGTCCAAATCTGCTGCCAAATTTACAAAAGCATCATGTTGGAATCAAAAAGTGGTCCTGTTCATAATACAGTCGAATTTTCACGATTTTATTCAATATTTCAATAGAAATCACTAATATTCAGAGACCTTTGACAGCTTTCGTAAAATTGCATTTCGATAAGATATTTTCCCATTGGTCCATAATATTAATGTTGGTGAAATTGGCCCTTAGTGACATATAAAATGCAACACCCAGAATTATTTATTGGATTTTGATAAAAACTTGTAGGAATATATTTGCTATTATGAAAGTATACGTTGATAAAATGTTGAAGGCATTCCTAGACGTACTTTTTTGTCATATTAGGATCCGAACAATATGAATATGTTTACATAATATTCAGTGATTTTTCTGTGTTGGTTCCATTTGTTTCATTGTCGTTTCATTGCATTATCATGCCTAGAGTTCCCAGACGGGCTAATTTCACTCAACTTTCCGAGTTTGAGAGGGTTACGTGAAGCCGGATTTTCTTTTAGAGTAATCGCTAATCTGGTGAATCGAAACGAAGCTACTGTAATGAGATGTTGTCGAGCGTAGTTTCAAGAAAAAAAAAACATTTCTCCATTAAATTTTCCATACACCGTTGTAGACGAAAAAGCACCGATTATTAAGTGATAATAAAAATAATCAGAAATTATACGCGCTTTTCTAAAATAAACAACTTGCAACAAAACCGCGGTTAAAACCAACGCGTTCAAGCGATTCGACTAACTGACGTCATCAACTCGTGTGTTATCTTGAACCATATTATAACCGCGGTACATAACAGAAATTTTGGTTATTCGCTTGGATTTGATTATAAACTTTTGTTACATACAATATTATAAGCAATTTACTGTTTTGACGTTAAGTTTAGCTACCCAAATCTTCTTACACTCATCTTTGGAGTACTAAGGGGAAATGAGTAACTGTGGCATCGTTCTTTATTCCGCAGCCAATGATGAATTGTACGTTCTTGATAAGGTTATGGAATGCTCGAAATTCTGCGAACCAAATCGCGCTACGTAACAAAATTTCAGAGATATGAGGTTTTTAGGACGGATGTGGATCCTATACCGCAGAACCGCTCCGAATCTATCGGTTAAAATTTTTATTTAATTGTGATTACCTGTAGCATATAGCCTGTCATGAATGCTGTAGATGAAACGAGATTATATTTTATATAAGACAGCGCAAAGTAGCATCTATCACACCAGGATCGACCACTGCGGAGAACGCATAGCTGCTATTAGTTGGAACTGTTAGGATCTCAGTTCACGTTTAATAGCCCAGCCATCACGTGACTGCTAGACGCCTGGATTCAGGCTGTAAAGTAGTTGTGTCTTTTTAGTTTACATTTATACACAATACATATTTTATAAAATACATTTGTGTACAGATGAACTAGGCATCTTCATAAGTATTTTTAATTTTTTTGAAAGCGCCAACGTGTGTTTGATCTGTAACGAACATCTAGCAATATTTAAATTCAAAACTAATTATCAAGATAGTGAAGAAAGCCATCAGTCTCATCGCCCCAGTTAACAATGGACAGACGGAATTCTAACGCAATACACCAAATACACGAGTTAAGTGTAAAATCATGAAAAGTATTGTTTCTGCAAATAACAACTGTGTCATTTTTTCTAAAGTCGTGTAAACTGTTCATAATTTGCATTACCAAGACTCGATATAGATTCATGATATATTTTAGGAAGACTGATAGGCCAGTAAATGCTTCTAATGGTGGATCAGGTCATGCTAAAGCAACTTACCTTCAATATCGACCTGCCTCAAGCTATCATCGATGCCGCATGTGTACAGTGTACCATCCATGACTTTCATGCCGTTCACCTGGTTACCATGGCCCGTGCCTTGGACTCGATCATTTTCTCCAGTTTCCGCATTCCATCTCGTCACGCATCCATCGTGTGAGGCAGTGAAGATGGTGGAGCGATCCTCGCTCAGAGTCAGCGAAGTGAGGGGCTTATTGTGGCCTTTCACTATGCGGAGAGGTTTAGTCGGATCGTTCACATCAAGATAGTTGATGAAACCGCTGAGGGAGACGGTCAGGAGGTAACTGTTTTGCCAAAGGCACGATACCTAGGGGAATAAAAAATAGGCTGATAGTCCAGTTGGTAGTTTTATCTGGAGGGTTTCAAAAAGTTGATACTTGTATTTCAATATTTTTCTCGTATCTTTTCCGATTGCACTGCCATCTTTTTGTTACTATTTCCGTTCGGACTCTGTATGCTAAAAATAGCTAGGCTGTGGAATTTGATGACCTGTCAAATGATATCCCAATGGTGTGAGTCTAATTTGTAACGCCTCGTATATTATAAGAATTCACGTGATTTTATTATATCGCTAAACACCCTGGGTGCACATTAAAGACGAGTTAGTTTTTGTTGCAAAAATACAAATACACCGGTCAAATTCCATGGTCTTTTCCCTAGCAACACATACAGGGTTATCCAAATTAAGTGTCCACCATTAGTAACTTTGTTATTAGTGAAAATACAAAGTTGTTTGAATTAGCAAACTAGTAGCATTTTTAACGCTGGTAAAAATGAGAAATAAAAAAAAACAATTGAGAGTCGTTATTTTGATTTTTTTCAGTAAAATAACATTTTTTTAAATGGAAACCCCTGTATATTATATTTTTTTCTGTTAAAGCATCAAATTTTAAACAAAAAAGCTTACAATAACTTTTCTCCTAGGTTACAAATTGTTGAAGTTATGGCCTCCAATCCGAAACAATTAAATTGTATCGACAAACTTTATTTTCAACATCAACTTATAATCTTACAAAATACAATAACAATTTTTTTTAATGAAGATGCTCGAAAACACCACCTTGTTCTTCAATACATTTTTGGGCACGTTTTTCAACTGCTCGAACTGTCTTAAGTATGGTCCTACCATCTATCTGGGTTATCTTTTCCCTAACTGCAGTCTTTAACGCGTCAAGGTTATCGTACCTTCGCTTGTAAATTTGGTTCTTTAAGTAACCCCACAAGAAGTAATCAAGTGGGTTTAGATCTGGTGATCTGGGAGGCCACTGTATTGGGCCATTTGTTCCTATCCACTGATCATTAAAAGTAGTACTTAGAAAATGATAAGCACCTCTGGAGTTGTGGGCAGGTGCGCCATCTTGCTGAAAATGCAGATGATGTCTACTTATAAGATCCAATTCGTCTAAGAAATTAGTCAGAATTTCTGACATAAATTCCACATATCTTTCACCAGTTAGGGTTCCCTCATAAAAGAACGGGCCAACAATTTTTGAACCAATTATACCGCACCAAACGTTGAAACTCTTGGATGTACTAACAAAAGATTTTCTCTTGACCAATAATGGTGGTTTTTTCTATTAAACATTCCAGAATTTGAAAAATTTGATTCATCTGTCCATAAAAGGTAACGAAAGTTATTTACATTTTGGCGACAGAAGCTAAGATACCAATGGCAAAAAACAAGTCTTCTCTCTGGATCCCCTGCCAAAAGCGTTTGAACTGGTCGGTACTTATACGGAATAAATTTGTATTTTTTTAAAATCCTTTGAACAGTACCATAACTGAAATTAGAGTCCTTGAGAATATCTGCTATTGAATTCTCACGATAAGCTTCAAAATATCCAATAACTGCAATTTCCGTGGCCTCGCTTATTATGAATTCTTTTTTTGCCCTTGTTTTAGCAAAAACATTTTCGTTGCCCCTAAATTTTCGATAAAGTCTCAGAAAATATCGTTCATACGGTTGAATGCGAGCGGGATATAATTCACTGTAGTATTCTCTTGCTCTCAAGGAGGATTTTCTGCACACTAAATAGCATTCTAACATATCACACTTTTCTTCATGGGAGAACATTTTTCTTTAAATTAATGACACAATAAAGCTTATAAACAAGTATTTACACTAATGTTTGACATTATTTGATTTTATCATTGTTTTCCAAAGCCTTCTAGTTGCGAGTATGTCCAGTTTAACAATTTGTCGCTTATCTTAATGCTGTCAAATCGCGAACGCCATGTTGTTTTCATAGCCGTCTTAATATTATAATACTGCAAATAATTAAAAATATTTATCGTTATTTAGACTTTATTTTTGACTTTAGCGGAAAAGTCATTATGAACTTTTTTGTTTAAAATTTGATGCTTTAACAGAAAAAAATATACAGGGGTTTCCATTTAAAAAAAATGTTATTTTACTGAAAAAAATCAAAATAACGACTCTAAATTGTTTTTTTTTATTTCTCATTTTTACCAGCGTTAAAAATGCTACTAGTTTGCTAATTCAAACAACTTTGTATTTTCACTAATAACAAAGTTACTAATGGTGGACACTTAATTTGGATAACCCTGTATACCCAAGTTTCAACCTAGCTATCAAGTTCCAAAAAATTCTAAATGGGCTAGCCCGGCCCACCAGCCAGCGTGAAAAAGTACGACGTGCGTCAGCATCGAAATAAAGTGCCACGCGCTGTGTACGTTAACCTAGCTGTTTATTTTACAAATGGATTAAAAAACGAAATTTGTTCAATCTTATAACAATGAAGAAGTTATCGATTTGATAATAGTTTACGGTGACTACTCAAGGTTCTATTGATACTTCGCGAATGTACTTAGATAGTATTCCTGGATGTACCCATCCCGGGCTACGTAGGTTTGTTTATACCGTGCGAAGAAAGTCGTGGTGGACAAGAACACCTGGACAGCTCCAAATCTTGCAAATTTAGGATAAAAAAACTTGCAATTCTGAATAGATCAGGCAACTTCAACATTATTTACGAGCAAACAATGTGACAGTACAGCACATCAAAATCTGCATGAATATCAACTTTTCAAAACTTCCCGAAAAGTTTCCGAGCAACACCGTTTTTGAGCACCAACTGATTGAACCAATAAGCGTGAGAATTTTGAATAAATTAAAGAAATGAGAGGGACAACAGAAATGTAAAGGTATATCTAGCACCCAGTTCAATCACTAGAAATAATTTGTTTGTTACTTTATTCTACAAAAAAAAATAACGGGCGGCTCAAAATGCGTTTAATTTATATTGATCCTTTGAAATCGAAACACTTTCGAAAGCTTAGTTACCAGTCCATATAAACTACTATACACTACACAACTCACCTGCTGATCCTCCACAGTAGTCCCCATGACAAACTCAGATACCATTTCCCTAGTCTCAACATCCCAAAGCTTGGCAGTCTTATCTCCGCTGGCAGTAAGCAGTTGCTTGCCATCTGGGCTCCACGCTACGGCGTAGACGCCCCCAGAATGCGCCGGGGCACCCACTTCCCCCACAAGGTCGGAAGACACTCCGTCGTAGAGGTACACCTTGCCGTCGAACCCAGCCGAGGCGAATAGGTTTCCTTGCGGGGAGTAGCGCACGGCTTGTACGAAACGGCTGTGTTCCTTCAAAAATATGTATACGATCAACTGTTTATCTTGCAATTGACAAAGGTTTTAAATCTCAGGGAACTTTTGTCTGGGACAGCATGAGCAAAAGGGCTGAGTTTGCACCGCATTCTTTCTCCATAATCGTTTCGAAAAAATGCGAGTCCTGAAGTAAAATGGATTGGATTCTCTAAAAAATAAGTTCTCTTGGAAATATCATTTTTTTTGACCAAATCCGTTCTGTTATGATCAGGATCCGTCAATATGGCACTAAGATCGATAGCATCCCATGGTGCTATTTTCCTACTAAAAATTATGAACAAAGCTTCAAATTTATTGAGGGCTTATTAGATTACTCCAAAGCTTTTAGCGGGATTAATCATCGTCTGCTCTTGGCAATCCTGCATTACTTTTAATGGCGCCAATGAATGGAAATGAAGTCCTTAATTTTATTCCTGGAAGAATGTAATTGTGAAACCTCAAGATTAACTGACAGAGTGTTGTATAGTGAAGGTGCCATGTAGGAGAAATATTTTTTTAGAAAGTTAATTCTGTGTGGCGAAACATCCAAATAATGCCCAACATTCAAGTTGCGGCATTTGCTTCTAAAAGATAGAAGAGCTTCTATATATTTAGATCGGTGTCTTATTAATAGGAATGGTTTGGAAAGATGAAAGGAGGAGCACTATCCATCTTTGATGCATGTTCAACCATCTCAGATGATGGGAGATTCTTTCTTTCCTGGGTATTCCATACATATAACGTACACAGATATTCTGAACTCTTTGCAGTCGGAAAGCCTCCTGCTGAGTTAGGCAAGGACAGTAAACGTTATCAGCATATTCAAGATTGCTTAGAACTAAACTATTTGTAAACTTTATTTTGGTTCTTTTAGATAAGATGTGTTTAAAGCTGCAAATAGCTTTCAACTTTGCATAAGCTCCCTGGACAGCTCTGGAGACATGGTCATAGGAGGTCAAGTGTTCGTCAAATTCCAAGCTTGCCATCAATATGTAGTTCAATGTTACTATATGAAAAATCTATATTTATTGACTTGAAATTTATCATATCTGATTTTTTAGGGTTACGTTAAAACCGTTCCTACCACGAACAGACATTTCTGAGATCAGTTTACAGGATGCGTGATGCATGCTCAAAATCAGACGGATTAAATGACAAATACAAAATAGTGTCATCCGCATGTGTGTCAATATTGCGCGACCTAGAATACATCCTTGCGGTATACCTTTGGACATATTTCGCAAAACAGAAATTGACTCCTTGATCTTGACACACGGGGTTCTTCCAAAAACCAAATTATGGTAAAAGCAGAGAAGCCAAAATAATGCAATAAATTTAACTTGCAAATGGTTAAAAATGGATTTTATCCATTCATTTAAATGGCTGTAAAATACTCTTCAAATTACAATAACACTGTTGAATTCTTTTTGATTTCAAGGTATTAATTTTGGGATAACATTTGAGATATACTATATTTGTACAATTATATATCTAACTTTTAATATCGCATCTCGTATCTGAGTCACAACATAAATTTATGCGCAATCGCTCTACTGTTTCTAACTTACCTATAATCACCTAGGATATTGCAGAGGTTCTAGATAATTAGGGATCAGATGGAAATAGTTTATTCTCAAAGGTCTTCAAAAAGATTAGTCACCAAAAAACCATCGGTAAACTGCAGCGTTTCGACTTTGAAAATGATCTATTAGATTTCTTTTCATCTTACTTAACGTACTCGTTTCTCACAAAGATTTCAGATTTTCACCATACTCGGTTTTATCCGGCGTACAACAGAGATCTTCAGGCCATCTCCACTTTCTTTATTTTATCAATTGCCTCCCTAACTTGCCCTTGACTGTTGTTTGCCGATGATTTGAAAATACAGGATGGTCCAACGAAAAGGCCGCACTCCTGTGTTACTCTCCTGGCACATTTTGGGAAAAACAGTCAGACAAGTCAATTTGGACTTCTAGGAGGATGTCTTTTCATCTATAGCCATACAATACAGGGTAATCAAAAAATAAGATACTGCGTTACACTTTAGATTTTTAAATAGAAAACCCTCTTTGTTTCAATTTCTAGATTCTCTATGAAGTTTTTAGTAACTTTTGTATAATAAAATTTATATCTATCTTCAATCATTGTGGACCTATTTGAGTTTATAATAACATTCTAGAAAGTGTGATAATAAGGGATTATATCTTAATAATAATAATAATCAATATAGTTACCATAGCAACAAGACTTTACAATTAAAAACAAGTCTCCGAGAATTGAAAAAAACAAAAAATAACCTTACAGTTTACACGCACATTCAAGTTAAAGTAAAAAATAATTTGCTATAAAGAGGTATGTCAATATGATAATAAGTGCTGAAAATGGTGCCCATTTACCTCCATGCAATAATAAAGATTTTGTTTGAATCTATTCATCTCATTTTCAAGCATGTCTTTGTCTACATTCAACCGTAATCCGCTGACGAAGATGTTGAATGGAATCTGGCTCCGTACTAAAAACTATACTTTTCAAATGTCGCCAAAGAAAGTAATCTAAAGGACTTAGATCCTGTGATCTCGGGGCCTCGTCTGCCGATACACTGTTTCGAGATATGGGTGTTCAAAATCTACGCACTAGAGCCACATAGTGCGGTGATGCACCATCTAAATGGAAATGAATATAATTTTCGGAAGTAATTACACAATTATATATCTAACTTTTAATATCGCATCTCGTATCTGAGTCACAACATAAATTTATGCGCAATCGCTCTACTGTTTCTAACTTACCTATAATCACCTAGGATATTGCAGAGGTTCTAGATAATTAGGGATCAGATGGAAATAGTTTATTCTCAAAGGTCTTCAAAAAGATTAGTCACCAAAAAACCATCGGTAAACTGCAGCGTTTCGACTTTGAAAATGATCTATTAGATTTCTTTTCATCTTACTTAACGTACTCGTTTCTCACAAAGATTTCAGATTTTCACCATACTCGGTTTTATCCGGCGTACAACAGAGATCTTCAGGCCATCTCCACTTTCTTTATTTTATCAATTGCCTCCCTAACTTGCCCTTGACTGTTGTTTGCCGATGATTTGAAAATACAGGATGGTCCAACGAAAAGGCCGCACTCCTGTGTTACTCTCCTGGCACATTTTGGGAAAAACAGTCAGACAAGTCAATTTGGACTTCTAGGAGGATGTCTTTTCATCTATAGCCATACAATACAGGGTAATCAAAAAATAAGATACTGCGTTACACTTTAGATTTTTAAATAGAAAACCCTCTTTGTTTCAATTTCTAGATTCTCTATGAAGTTTTTAGTAACTTTTGTATAATAAAATTTATATCTATCTTCAATCATTGTGGACCTATTTGAGTTTATAATAACATTCTAGAAAGTGTGATAATAAGGGATTATATCTTAATAATAATAATAATCAATATAGTTACCATAGCAACAAGACTTTACAATTAAAAACAAGTCTCCGAGAATTGAAAAAAACAAAAAATAACCTTACAGTTTACACGCACATTCAAGTTAAAGTAAAAAATAATTTGCTATAAAGAGGTATGTCAATATGATAATAAGTGCTGAAAATGGTGCCCATTTACCTCCATGCAATAATAAAGATTTTGTTTGAATCTATTCATCTCATTTTCAAGCATGTCTTTGTCTACATTCAACCGTAATCCGCTGACGAAGATGTTGAATGGAATCTGGCTCCGTACTAAAAACTATACTTTTCAAATGTCGCCAAAGAAAGTAATCTAAAGGACTTAGATCCTGTGATCTCGGGGGCCTCGTCTGCCGATACACTGTTTCGAGATATGGGTGTTCAAAATCTACGCACTAGAGCCACATAGTGCGGTGATGCACCATCTAAATGGAAATGAATATAATTTTCGGAAGTAATTACACAATTATATATCTAACTTTTAATATCGCATCTCGTATCTGAGTCACAACATAAATTTATGCGCAATCGCTCTACTGTTTCTAACTTACCTATAATCACCTAGGATATTGCAGAGGTTCTAGATAATTAGGGATCAGATGGAAATAGTTTATTCTCAAAGGTCTTCAAAAAGATTAGTCACCAAAAAACCATCGGTAAACTGCAGCGTTTCGACTTTGAAAATGATCTATTAGATTTCTTTTCATCTTACTTAACGTACTCGTTTCTCACAAAGATTTCAGATTTTCACCATACTCGGTTTTATCCGGCGTACAACAGAGATCTTCAGGCCATCTCCACTTTCTTTATTTTATCAATTGCCTCCCTAACTTGCCCTTGACTGTTGTTTGCCGATGATTTGAAAATACAGGATGGTCCAACGAAAAGGCCGCACTCCTGTGTTACTCTCCTGGCACATTTTGGGAAAAACAGTCAGACAAGTCAATTTGGACTTCTAGGAGGATGTCTTTTCATCTATAGCCATACAATACAGGGTAATCAAAAAATAAGATACTGCGTTACACTTTAGATTTTTAAATAGAAAACCCTCTTTGTTTCAATTTCTAGATTCTCTATGAAGTTTTTAGTAACTTTTGTATAATAAAATTTATATCTATCTTCAATCATTGTGGACCTATTTGAGTTTATAATAACATTCTAGAAAGTGTGATAATAAGGGATTATATCTTAATAATAATAATAATCAATATAGTTACCATAGCAACAAGACTTTACAATTAAAAACAAGTCTCCGAGAATTGAAAAAAACAAAAAATAACCTTACAGTTTACACGCACATTCAAGTTAAAGTAAAAAATAATTTGCTATAAAGAGGTATGTCAATATGATAATAAGTGCTGAAAATGGTGCCCATTTACCTCCATGCAATAATAAAGATTTTGTTTGAATCTATTCATCTCATTTTCAAGCATGTCTTTGTCTACATTCAACCGTAATCCGCTGACGAAGATGTTGAATGGAATCTGGCTCCGTACTAAAAACTATACTTTTCAAATGTCGCCAAAGAAAGTAATCT